ATAAAAGTTAAATATTAAAATACAAAGTTAAATGTTAAAAATACAAAGTTAGTTAAATATTAAAATATAAAATTAAAACGATTCTTCGCTGTTGACCAATAGATATGCAAGGCGGTTGGTCTGAGATGCCAAGTTATGCGACATTTAAACATGCTGCGGATGTAATACGCGAATTAAATCAATGTCAGAAAAAATTAAAAAATCTTTCAACTTACATTATCGTTTTAACAAGTCCTTTTTCCCGATATTTCAAGTGTGTGTTGCGAAGTCTGAATAACAAATGTCAAAATAGAGAGCGTGATGTATTTATTTATTACCAATGTTTTTTCTAAATTATGATTCAGCAAATTTACTAAGTATGTCAAAATAACTACTGTCTAACAATTCGGTGTCTTTATTTAAATTAATTCCATTTTTCTGTTCTTTAATGTGGATCATTTCAGATATTAGTCTTTTATGGTAATTCTTTTCATGATCCATAATTTTAATGTTGTCCCAGTCAAATGTATGTTGTTCGTTTAGAATGTGTTCCGTGACAACCGAATGTCTAGCAGAGTCTAATTTAATATTATTTTTATGTTCTTTAAGTCTCGTTCCTAACTGTCTTTTTGTCTGTCCGACATATGTGGCGTCACAATCGTTGCAATTCAATTTATAAATAACGTTAGAATTCGTGGGGCAATTATTTCTGTCCTTATGAACTTTTATGAAGTCATTCAATTTTTTAATGCAACGATATCCTACCACTACGTTAGGTCTTCTTATTGCTGAAACAACTTTCTCAGATATTGATTCTATATATGGTATGACAAAATATTTAATGTTAGTATTAATATTATTAGTATCTGTTATATTGTTATTATTAGGCTTGTTAAATTTCTTGAAGATTGAAAAATCTCTCAACTAAGAAATTTAACAAGCCTAATAATAACAATATAACAGATACTAATAATATTAATACTAACATTAAATATTTTGTCATACCATATATAGAATCAATATCTGAGAAAGTTGCTTCAGCAATAAGAAGACCTAACGTAGTGGTAGGATATCGTTGCATTAAAAAATTGAATGACTTCATAAAAGTTCATAAGGACAGAAATAATTGCCCCACGAATTCTAACGTTATTTATAAATTGAATTGCAACGATTGTGACGCCACATATGTCGGACAGACAAAAAGACAGTTATAAAGACAGAAATAAAACGTTCTGTGAAAATTAGATCAAGAGGATAACCGTTGGATAGCAAAATGTTAATAGCTTTCTCTATATTTTTTTTGTGAAATTGCGGATGTGATAGTAATAAAGCTCTATCTACCAAGTTATAAATTGTTCCTATTTTATGACAAGTTGGATGATTTAAAAAAAATGAAAGTAATCTACCTGAGAATGTCTTTTTGTGATACCAATCTAAATAAATTTTATTATCTATTACTTTGATCATTATGTCTAAAAAGTTTATACACCGATTATCCTCTTTTTCCAATGTAAATTGTAGTCTATCATTATAATTGTTGAATTCGTTCAAAACATATGTAATATTGTCAGCGGAAGTGCATAAAATAATGTCGTCTACATAACGGAAATAAAAAGTCATTTCGCAATTTAAATTACTAATTACCAATGTTTCCAAGTCCTGCATGACTATATCGGCAATGATCGGAGAAAGTGGGGAACCCATAGGAGTCCCATAAATTTGTTTGTAAGTTATGTTATTGAAAGTGAAAAATGTAGAAGTTAATATAAATTTTACCATACCTATGAATTCATTTTTGGGAATCTTTGTGTGTGACTCTATAAAATGCCATCTATTATTGATACCGTTTAATGCAAGATCTACGGAAACATTAGTAAATAATGAAACAACGTCCAAAGAAACTATTATGTCGGAATCTTGTATTGTTTTCCCTGATAGAATGTTGCATATATCAAAACTGTTATTTACAAAACTGTCCGCTCTAGGAAGGCTATCTTTTAAAATTTTATGAAAGAAGGAAGCAATATTATATAGAGAAGTATTTATTGAGGGAACTATTAATCTAAAAGAAATATTTTCCTTGTGGATCTTGGGGAGCCCATAGGCTTTAGGAAGAAGAGAGTCGCTTGAAAATAAATAATAGTATTCTTTTTTGTTGATGAAATCTTTTTTCAACCATTTTTTTTTGAGACCAGATTAAACTTTACACTATTTATAATTTTTGCTTTTTGTTACTTAATTTATATATTTTCTTATTATATTATAATTATTTATCTCAATATATCTTTTTTAATATTCCGTAATTTTATATGTTCGAGTTTAAACTAAGCATGCAATAACTTTTTGAAAATTGATAATTGATTTGTTTACAAACAATATTTGTTAATTAAAATTAATATTAATCAAAATTAATATTGGTCGCTAGTGGTGAAAATAAGCTTAGAAAACTTGACTTCGACGTAACTAGCAAATTTTATTTAATTATTTCACGACGTTTCGACCATTTGGTTGTGGTCCTTTTCAAGTGAAATTTCTACAACATAATATTACACAATAGTTTTTAACATACGAGAACTCATTTAAGTGTTAAATTAATAAAATAAATATAAATATTATAAACATACCCATCAATTAAACCGAGGTTAACATAACATCACACTGGTGTTATTTAAAATCGAAAGTTAAAAGTTAAAAGAGGAACACGTCCCATCGTTATGATGTTGAAAGTTAAAAGTTAAAAGAGGAACACGTCCCATCGTTATGATGTTTCGTCAACGACTAAATTTGAAACGCGCCACTAAACAATCTTTATTATTTTGTCATAAATGTTTGTCAAATTCTCGGTGTCTTTCTGTAGGTTAACCGTATTGTCATGCTTCTTTATAAAGAACATTTCAGCAATCTCTCTCTTTCTTACATGTTCCTCATTATGTAAAATGGTCGGTGATTTCCAATCAAAGTTATGCCCAAAATCACATCTGTGTTTGCTCAAAACCGAATGATTAGACTCATGTAATTTAATATTGCTAGCATGTTCCTTCACTCTAGTGCATAAATGTCTTTTCGTTTGTTCAATGTATGATGCATTACAATTTTCACAATTAATCTTGTATACTACATTCGTTTTAATATCATTAGTTATTAAATCTTTACCTCGTTTTATCAGCCTATTCAACTTTTTTGGCAAACTATAAACGACATTTATGTTAGCATTTTTAAGTGACCTTTTAATACTGTCGCTAACATCCTTAACGTATGCGAGTGGAATTACATAATTCTTATCTTGAGCCGAATTCACATTAACGTTATTATCTAAATCATTACTCAAACTGTCGTTATTATCTGCATTGTGACCGTTAACATTCCTGTTGTTATTCAGTGCATTAATTCTTTTATTTACATACTTATTAATAATATGATCCGGAAAACAATTATTAATTAAAATGTTCTTTACAATCTCAATATTCGTATTATGAAATTGTTCGTTAGAAAGTAAAATTGCATGGTCTACTAAATTGTAAATTGCGTATTAATTTTGTACTTAATAGGATGACTCGAAAGAAAATTGATGTATCTGCCAGAACATGTAGGTTTCCTAAACCAATTAGTTGTCAATTTATTCCCATTGCTGATAACTGTAGAATTTAAAAAATTAATAGAAGAATTGGTCTCTCTTTCATGTGTAAATTTTAAACGTTCATGATAATTATTAAATGTACTTAAAATTTCATTTATTTTAGAGCAAAATTTGTTTACAAAATTTATATTTATTTTATTAATTTAACACTTAAATGAGTTCTCGTATGTTAAAAACTATTGTGTAATATCATGTTGTAGAAATTTCACTTGAAAAGGACCACAACCAAATGGTCGAAACGTCGTGAAATAATTAAATAAAATTTTCTAGTTACGTCGAAGTCAAGTTTTCTAAGAATATTTGTTAATTTATCAAATATATTAAATTCTTAATATAAAAAATTACCATGTAAAATGTGGAGTATAAAAAAGAAGATAAAGTGATAACATTTCCTTCGCTTGCAGAAGAAAGAAGAGTATTTGTACTGTAAATTTCGAGCAGAATTTCTTCTAACATATTTGTACTTTTATACGCACTTCTCTGTTAATTACAAATCTATTATCAAATTAGAAAGAATTATTATCAGAAATGAAAATACGAGCGTTAATAAAATATAAGTTTAGTAAACTGCGTCACTTGTCTGTAAGTAAAATGTTCCTTTGTTCTAGAATTTCTCATTTTTTATCCAAATGTGTCGAATAAAAATAAAATTAAATTATACATTTTTTTATTTGTTATTACTTTATTAAGTGAGTTATTACTTAAGTATAATAGCAAATAAAAAAATTTAATATAAATACATATAATTCTATAATATAATTTATATATATAAATTATATTTTGCAAATATAGTAATGATTATAAAGCAATAACAAATAAAAAAATATAAATATACATACATATATTTTAAAATATATGTAATATTTACATATATTTCTAAATATATATTTACATACATATTTTTTCATGTGGAAATGTTAAAACCAATTGCTTTGTGAAATTAATAGAATTGTTATAAAAAAATTTATTAGAAAAATATATTTTTGCAACCTGAGGATTGGAGAACACAAAAATAAAAAAAGCATATCATGTTTCGAATAAATGTGAAATTGGCCGTTCAAACCCTTAAGAAAAAAGTCAGTGTAGTTTTAAATTTTGCGAGCACTATATACGTTTCTGAGCAATTTTTATGTAAAAAGCAATCCATATAGCCAATAAATAGATTTATAGTTTATCTAACATCACATTTTGACAATAAAACAGGAAAAAAACAACAGACTTCTCAAAGGCGTTCAGAATCTCCTTAAGCAACAATTATATTTTCATAGTAAAACGCCTGTAACATATGCTACACCGCCAGACAAGACTGCGCGCGAAAGCACTCGCGGAAAACCGTCCGTAAAGTCGTGCACTTGTTCGTGCTTTCGCCGCTACGCGGCGTCTTTTCTCGCAGTTAGAATTCCGCTGAGTGAGGATATAAGGCCACGCGCTGCATTGCCGAAACATATTTGTGAATATATATGTATACATATGTACGACCAATGAGTGCCATTAAATTATTATTGGACAGTATGTTAATAGCGCAGAATTTTATTGTAAGATCACTTAGAGACATTTTTGGTTAGCAAATATGTCGGAAAACAACTGTGACTTTCGAAAGTAAAGATTTTAGCTAACTCTTTTGAAATTTAAACTCATTTTTTTGAAATAAAGGACGGTATTCCATAGTCCGTTCTTATATTTAAGACTGTCTTAAGCACAAAGTCTTTTAAGATGCCTTTCTCTTCTTAAGCATGTCTACAAAACTAGTCAGATTCATAATTCAAATCTTGATGGCCTTATTTGAATCAAATAAGATCGTGTTTATTAGAAAGTAAGTTTATTTTCAAGTCAGTCCGTACATGACTTTAAGATAAGCTTATTAAGGTAACATTTCATGAGCAGTGAAAAGCAGCAGTTTAGTAACTAACTAGTATTGTTTGGTGAATTCACAGAATTGCTGCGCTGCCCATGAAATAGGTTTCCTGTGCAGTGTTTTAAATCGTTAGCACTATGTCGTATAATCAAAAATTATATCAGTGGCAAACAGAGTGTATACTTAAAATTAATGAGTATAATGCAAAAATAAATCAAAAACAAGCTGTAATAGCGGCAGCTGTAGTAGCGACAGCTTACACAAGTATTTAAAAAAAATACAAAAAGAAACGATATTGGATGGCTGAGATTTATAAGCAACGACGACGCATAGGATTTTATTACTTGGTATTCCCAATGTTGAAATTAGATGATCTCCGATTTAAGAATTATTTTCGGATGAACTGTACTCAATTTGAAGAGTTACTTGCATTAATTGCGCCAAGAATACACCGACAATATGCCATTCGAGAACCCATTGAAACGGAACAACGTTTCATAATATGTTTAAGGTAATATGTAATATGTAGTTTTTTCTATTATCCTTTTATTGTAAGTAGAAAGAAGTAAAATTTTAATATTTTAGATACTTAGCTAGTGGTGACAGTATGGCATCCATGTCACACCAGTACTCGGTTAGCCAAACAGTAGTTTCTCAAATTATTCGTGAAACATGTGAAGTTATATGGGATGCATTGTACCCTCTTGTACTTCCATTACACACACATAAAGAATGGAGGGAGATTGCAAATGAAATGAATATTAAATGGCAATTTCCACATTGTATTGGGGCAATGGATGGCAAACATGTTATTATACAGGTATAAAATGGTTTTCTGCATATCTGAATCAAAATTTGCATATAATTCACGCAGTTACTCTATAACTCAAATTCTATTTTTCTTTCAGAGTCCTCAACACAGTGGCTCTGCTTATTACAACTATAAAAAATCCTTCAGTATTGTATTACTAGCAATCTGTGATGCGAACTATGTTTTCACATATGTTGACATTGGTGCCTATGGTAGACAGAGCGACGGTGGTGTTTTTAAAAATTCGTTAATGGGACAAAAATTTGCACAGGGACAAATGAATGTTCCACCTGCCGAAGAAATTTATGAAGGAAGTTCCAAGTACCCTTATGCATTAGTTGCAGACGAAGCATTTCCACTGAGTCCATACTTGATGCGTCCTTTTTCTGGAAGAGATCGTTTGTCAACAGAACAGAAGATTTTCAATTACCGACTCAGTCGAGCAAGAAGAACAATAGAAAATGTTTTTGGGATTCTTGCTGCTCAATGGCGAATATATAGAAAACCTATTATAGGAAAAGTTGAGACTATTGAAAACATAGTGAAAGCAACAATAACTTTACACAATTGGCTACGCAAAAAAGATATATCAAATAGAGAGCAGTCATTTATATCTGCTGGTATGATTGACGAAGAAGCAAATGATGGCTCCATTATTGAAGGCAACTAGAGAAAAATTGTGCAACTAGACAACAGTGTCCTGCAACCATTGTCTTCTTGCTTAACACACACATACACAAGAACGTCTGCTGAAATCCGACAAAAATTTATGAATTATTTTAATGAAGAAGGCGATATTCCATGGCAGTTTGTACACGTTTTTAAATAAATAAATGTTAAATTTATCAGTCTTACAATAGTTTCTATGATTTCATTATTAAATTATTAAGGTTTCTTGTTCCTCGTCGATCATGTCGGAATCGTGACGTCAGAAGCGAGAAAATACACACTTAAAATTTTTGCGTGCCATTTTTAGATAAAAAGATATATCAATGTAACAACACTACAAAAGTCTTTGGCATACTTGTAAAATTATCTGAAAACTCTTTTTCCTTTTATAATCAATTAACAGCTGTAAAATGAATGTAATATGAAATCCAGTCCGTCTAAATATTTATTATTTACTTATTTATTAAACTGTTTTGGATCATTAAATAAATAAATTTGATTTTGCATAAAAAAATTAATTATTTATTAGGACCACGTACAATATAAAATATGTATTATCATAAATTATGTATACTATAAAATATATGTTTAAAAAAAATACAAAATATTTTTCTTGCAAATAAAGCGAAGCATAGTAAGAAGTAATATTAGATAGCATTTAGAAGTTTAATTTTTCATACATAAATTGCAATATTTCTAAAATTAAAGTCCTTTTTCGCTCTTCTGTTTGTTGCCTTAACTGACTCCCAAGTATCAAAAATAATCCATCTACTTCGTCTAGGGTCGGAGATGGTGGCAATGTTAACGGTTGCATAGGAGTTGCAATTGTAGATATAGCATCTGCAATTTGCTGAATTGCTGTATTTGGTTCTTTCATATCTGAATGAGTTGTGCGTCCTAAAAAATAAAATAATACTTACAACAAAAACAATTTTTACAATAAATAAAAGGGGATTTATTATGATGGATTTAAGATAAGGATCTTAAAACATCATGACAAATCATCGGTAACGTAATTATTCATTAAACTCCCTTGTATCCACTGAATAATACATATAAATATATGTATTATTATTCAGTGAATGAATAAAAATTATAATTGATATCATTACGTTACGTTTTTTATTCAAGGGGGGGTCTGCTGCTTCTCCTGATCTAGATTCTAAATTTGTTGTAGTCCTATAGTGTTAAATAATAATTACATAATAGAAATGGCACTAATGAAGTTATAATAGTCCAATCAAATTTGTTACATAAATCTAGGTTTATTCCTAAAATTCCAAAAACAAAGTAATTTAGATTTATACATACTGTTTTGTAATGAGAGTATCCTTTAAAAACAGCATTCTGTCAAAGTGCTTCCATTTTTTTTTCTTTGATCCTGCAGCTCCGCTGGGCTGCTTATCTTCAGCTATTTTGCGGCAGAATGTGTCTCGCAATATTTTCCATTTCTTTTGAGCTTCTTTTGCACTCAATCGGCCTATTAATATTATATATATATATATATATATGTGTATAAGTATTAATGTATGTATAATGCAAACATTGTTGTTTTATTTTTGATAATAATCATAAAATTAACATCACATACCATTTAACATTATTGATACTTGTTGCCATTGCTCACTGATTGCCAGTCTATTACGCTGTGTGATGGGAATGTTATAATTATAGAGAATTTCTCTTCGAGATACTTCTTCGATAAGTAATTCCTCTATATCCTCAGTTTCTTGAGTACTAAGTGAACTTGTGGATGGTTCATTTTCAACATTGATAATGTCTTCTACAATGGCTTCTGTGTTATTGCCTATATCACTGCGCCTTATGGTAGTCCCATTGTCTATGTATATAAATAACGTATCCATTAAAAATTATTACTTCACAATATGTAATAAAATCTTTACTTGTCTTACCACACACTGGATAAAAATAGCGATTGTTATCGATATGCACACGATTATAATTCTCCAGACAAGGATGTTGAAGAATTTCATTTTCATCAACAATAATTTCGCATACTCCACATGTATTTACCATTTGTATCTGAAAATTTAAACATTATAAATTTTTAAATAAGAATAAATAAGTTAATTGTTATTAACAAAGTAAGCATTGTCAATATATATATATATATATATATATATATATTATATTAGAGTGTTTCCTAATCTATAATCTAACCTAATTTATGTATCAAATGATTTGTGATTAATTATTTCATATCTAAGTTAAGAATGAAATACCGTATGTATATATTATTAATTTCAAAAGTTTCAAAAATATATGTCTATAATATTTTTAATCCAATGATGTAAACAAATTCAATTATATACCCACACGGAACAAAAACCTCTAATGGATGTCCACTAGACATCCATCAAGGAAATTCAAAACCTCTATTAGACGTCCACGAAACCTCCTATAGACGTCTACTAGACATCCACAGTTCCGCAATTCATATATCCATTCGACATCCATTAGACGTATTCATGGATATTGTATGGACGTAATATGGAGTATACCATGGAGCAATTTGGACGTAATATGGAGCAATCATAGATATTTCATGGAGCTTTGATAGATAATAAATAGACGTTAATTGGAAGACATATAGATGTAGATTTTTGATTTTGTTTTAGTTTACTTCGCTGTAAATTAATGTAGACAATTTTTTTATTAACAGAAAATATTTTTATTGATGAAATAAATATGTTTATGAATACAAGTAAAACTAATATACAATATATTAATATAAAATTAATATAAGTATTTTTTATGGAATAAAATTAATATAAGTATTTATAATGTACATATAAATTTTTCTGCGACTTATCTAACTCCAAGAACGACAAAAAGAAAGATAAACGCATTTACAAATTTATGAAGACTTTTCTCGCTCCATTTTCGTTCTCAATACAAAAACTTCTCAAATCATACATATATATATTTTTTTTTTTCCGAGTAACGCGAGGACATATATCTTATAATTAGACAAATTAGGTCGATAAAATAATATATAGATACAAATATTTGTATAGTAATGCTAATTAAACATGAACGCTTATTCTCTTATGAAAAATTTTCGTATGCGAAGATGACGCTGAACGAAAATTGTGTGTGTGTGTTGTGTGTGTGTGTGTTAGCGTGTGTGTGTGTGTGTGTGTGTGTGCGTGTGTGTGTGTGTGTGTGTGCTGTGCGTGTGCGTGCGTGTGTGCTGTGTGTGTCTGTGTCTGTGTGTGTGTGTGTGTGTGTGTGTGTGTGTGATTGGTATATACTTTTAAATTTAAAAATATATACCAATCTGAAGAATCGCGTAGCGTCTTTCGCATAGGAAAATTTTTCGATTTTAACAATTGAGGTCCTGGAACAATTCTAACAGGGAGAGGCTTCGTCCGCGCATATCACTGGCTTCATCGGTCTTCATCGGTCCAGTCTCTGCGATCTCGCTACATTGCTGAAATATAAAAGTATGTGTGATATACACGTATAATATAAAACATCAGATGGGTGATAAAAAAAAGTGCAAACGCAATATTAAAAGTAGATAAAAATTATTGCAGGAAAGGGGCACTGGAATTATATTTTTTTTTCGTCACACAATTTCCAATATAGACGAAGAGAGAATATAATTACATTGCCCCTCTTCTTGCTAATGTTGACGCGTTGACTTGTATGAAAGCGCGCAATTTATGACTACGTTTATACGATCCGATTTACGCCGCAATTATAACATCGATATTATTATTAATACAAACGTTTAAGGGTGACGTGTAAACGTAGGGTGCTTTCCATTTAGTGACACAAGTCGACACAAGTATCATTCTATCTTTGTTGTTCACTGTTGTTGAAAAAAGACAGAATGATGCTTGTGTCGACTTGTGTTGCTAAATAGAAAGCACTCGTAGTCATCTCGCTCGTAAAAGCGAAGCGTTCGCGCCAGTGATGTCAGAAAGAATTAAGCTTCGAGCAACACGCATCTCCCCCCCCCCCCGCCCTTATGGTTGCGTGTTGCTCAAAGCTCGCTTTTAAAGGCTTTGTTTACACCGAGCACTTAATACGCGTACCAAATCCTATACGTTCTATAGGTCAGATAAGTCCTATAAGTCAGATAAGAGTCGGTAGTCGCGATCGACAGTTGAGTCGGTCTTTGTAGTCTTGCGACAGGAGCTTAACAGTGGTATGTGACGTATGTACAATATGTGACGTAATTTACGGTCTTGTGGAAGGATCAAATGTAGTGTTAATATACAGTGAGCGTCAAAGATGAGTATACATCTAAAATACATATAAACATTAAGTAACAGTATAATGTGTAACATTAATATTATAATTTTTCATATATAAGGCATGCTACATTGCAATTACGTTGCAGTTATCTTGTTAAGTGAGAAATTATAATATTAATAGGAGCTTTCCGGCAAGACACAGTGTAACACAATGTTCACTAGTATAAGTGAGACACACTGATACGTTCTCTCTCACACTAATGGACACTGGTGTCGCCTGTGTTACCTGCTGGAAAGTTCCCAAAAATGTTACGTTACCGTTAAGCCTGAGACACAATGCGAGGCAATAGCGATAGGAATAACATAGCACAAATTTCAATCTATAAGAAACCACATTCCATTGGTACGTGGTTTCTTATAGGTTGAAATTTGTGCTGTGCTATTTCTATCGCTATTGCCTCGCATTGTGTCTCAGGCTTTACTTTATCTTTACTGGAATTCTAAAGTACAATATTAGAGAACTGTGTTTTCATTGACATTATTAATAACTTTTCATTTCTCTATTCACTGCAGTCCTCCAAGAAATTAGACAAAGCATTACCTTCGCGTCTATTCATCCGCTTCTCCTCATTTTCATGCCTCGCCTTGGAATGTCGGAACCACTCCATAACTCGTCGTTGTATTTTTCTCTGGTCGGAATCCGGGATATTGTGAAGTATGGATCCTGTAAACATTTTCTTTGTTTTAACTTTCTTATTTTATATTCATTGAGATAGAGAGTGCATAAATTATATTTGAATAATTTTGCTTTTTTAGTTTTATAATGCAAAAAGATTAAAAGTACACAAAATTTTATTCACATAAATTGATTCATCGAAAACTTTTTAAATTTGATTAAAATAATAAACAATTACGAATATCTACGTGGTGTCGAATGGAAAATTGCTGAAAATAAACAGCTGTCATTTTCAAATGCACATAGAGAGGAAGCAGTAAAAGTAAAATATTTTCTAAGAGAGGCATTTTTATTTATACATAGAGTAAAGACAAATATCGGAAATATACTTATTATTTAATAAACGATTTATAAAAGATGGTTCAAGATAATAAAGGAAATTGATCAGAGCTGTGAGAATTAAAAGCAATGAATGGCATCTCAAAAGAGACGTAAAGTTACGTAAAATTATTTATAGTTTCCGCAAGAGATATGATTTTGTTTCAATGATGTTTTAATGATGCACTTTAAATATGTCATTAAAAAAAAACTTTATTATAAATGATAAGAATGTCTTTACTCTATGTGAAAATAAAACTGCTGAATGTCCTCTATTTAAAGATATTTTAATTTTTTCTGCTCCCTACGTGTATTTAAAAATAACAGCTATATATATAGGTATACATATAGGCCCGTATTCAGAACTGCACGTTTCAGAACGGTCAATTTTTAACGCACATAAGAAACAAAAAAATTAAAAAATTTTTTTACAGAGGACATTTTGCATTTATTTACATTTAAACAAAGATAATTGTGGAAATAATTTTATTACTACGAACAAACGTTTATTTCAAAATGCTAATTAAATATATATATATAACAGTTAATTTCAGTAATTTATCAAGGGCGCATTGTACTATATTGTCCGTATTCGGAATGCGCTTTTAAAAATGTTAGCGCGCTTTTTTGTCATTCTATCCTTATTTCACGTTTAATGAACAATAAAGATAGAATGACAAAAAAGCACGCTAACATCTTTAAAAGCGTTCTGAATACGGACCATGCATATAGTACAATGCGTCATGATAAATTACTGAAACTGTTATAATTAAATTAGTATTTTAAAATAAACGTTTGTTTGTAGTGATAAAATTATTTCCAATCTTTATTTAAATGTAAATATAAATGCAAAATGTCATCTGTTAAAAGATTTTTTTATTTTTTTGTTCCTTATGTGCGTTAAAAACTGACCGTTAATTATAGTCAACAAATTTCCGTGACACCCTGTAAAATAACAGAGAGAAAGAGCGAGAGAGAGAGAGAGAGAGAGAGAGTTTGCATTTGCGCGCGCGCGCGCGCGCGTGTGTGTGTGTGTGTGTGTGTGCAGTTTTTTTATCTGTCATTATGTGTATATATATGAAAGCATTACTTAATCACATATTTTTACGTTTAATTAATATTTAAACTTACTGAAAATAACTTTCATCACTTCCAGTTTCTGCAGTGGTTCCTTTCCGCGTCGGCTTTCCCAGTTATATCTCTCCGCCAATTTATTGGAGAATACTTTATACAATGTTCTCTTTACGGCATCATCGACACTTGTCCCTCCGATGGATTTGATATATCCGCGCTATAAAATAAAAAGGTAAAATAATATATTATTATCAGATTAAATAATTCCTTAAAATTCTTTTAAATTCTCAATCTTTCCAATCATTTATAACAATTTTAAATTATTAATAATCTGAACGATAAAATGTATGCAATAAAAGCTTGTAAAACTTCATGGTAATTGTGAGTTACAGTATTTGTTCAATTATCAAAATATAATTTCGCGTCTGATTATTTTATTGGTAAAATATTTATATCTTATATATAT